GTGATTTAGCTGAACGAAGAACTCATCCAGATTATAAACTTTGCTAAGAATTCGACAACCATACAATAATATGTATTTTAATAAATTATTTTAAATGCCATGCCATCTAACTGTAAAGCAATATGTATACGTAGAATTAAGTCGATTTCTTGCCGAAAATATTAACAAATCTATATGGACTTGACTCTTTAAAATAACTCTAATTACTGTTTGTCAAATAAAATTCTGAAATTAAATTTTTTTATATCATTTCTCTGAGTACTTCCCTTCTTCTTTGTTTAACAGTTTATTGATGACTGTGCCATCGCCACCTATTATATTAATCGAATGACAAAGAGAAAAAACAATAAACAAGGAAATCTATAAATCAATTAGTTGCTCTAGAAATTCCTTGATTTAAGAATCAAAATATGCATAGCGCCCTGTAACGCAACTATTTACATAGTTATAGAGAACTAAATTCAAAGCATTCGAAAATATAAATGTGGAAAAATACAAGTGGTCATAATTTGTTGAAACAAGGATTACTTCACGGCGATTTAAAAAATGAAATAGGCTTAAGTACCGGTTACCAATTTCGTATAACCCGGATTTTTTGTACCGATTACCCATTTTGAGAAAAGCGGAGTGATCATGGCTAGTTTTTTATTATGGTTACCCAAAAATTAAATCGGTTGTTTTGGTACCAGTTACCGATTTCGTAAAACGCGAAGTGGTCACGCCCATTTTTTTTTTAATATTATCGGCGATTTCAAAATTTTCCTACACTTTTCTTAGAAATACGACAAACAATATGTGTGCTAGGTTTTGAAGAGATTTTTTTATGATTTTTTGAGATAGAAAGAATCTACTACGATCATTTTCCAAATTTTTATGAAACCAAGTTTCTTGCTGAAATATTAATTTATACATATGTACATACATGTGCATATAAAAATTTGACAACTTTGATTTAGTGATTGCCGAAGTACAGAAGTTTTAGCCGTTTTTTTTCATAAATACCGTTATATGAGAATGGTTTGGTTTATGTCCGATTTCTCCATTTCATCATTCGGTATTTAAAAAACATGAACAATACAATAATAATACTTGTTTAGTAAAATTTTGAACACGTTTTCGTTCTTTAAACAATAAAAAAAAAAATATTTTCGGTTTTTACAAAATTGGTAACCGGTACAAAAAAACTGATTTCTTTTTTGACATTACCAAAAAAACTTGATTTTCTCTAAACTGGTAACCAGTACATAAAACCGGTTTTTTTAATTGGTAACCGGTAAAAAACTATTCAATTTTTGAAATCACCGTGAAGTAATTCTTGTAGTAGTAAAATATTTTGATACATTTGTATATATCTGCGTAACGATGCGGGAGTTGTCAGTAGTTTTTACTCGATTAAAAATATTTTCGGTCAAATTGAGAGATAGAAAATTTTTATTTTGATGAAAATGTACTTCTGAATATTTTTATTCTGTGCGAAATTTTTTCCGAGTACACCTAAAAATAAAATTTTGTAAAGCCATCGTACACCAAAGCTTAATAAGGACTCTCGCCGCACACTTAGCCTCCTTAAAATAAAAATATTGTGTTCATTTCCGGTTTATCTTTTAAATAACTAATCGGTAGTTTTTTTTTTTTGTATTTAACACACTATCACAAAATAGCTTAACTCACGAGCTACGCAAACACAACAATTAACACATAATCATAAATTCATCTAGGCATCTTAATACACTGATGATAACCCGTAATTATGAATTATCAATGAAAAACTTGTCGCATGACATCACGCATAAAACTGAACATCGTAGAAACCATTGGATGGACAAAGCCTTTCTCAATTTCCGTGGTCAATTCTTCAACATCAGCCGGCCTTTTAGTTGACACATCCCAGTTGCGTGTAATAATTTTTTGCGACTTTTGTCGTCGCTTGGGAAAGTAAACTTCATTAATGTCCTCGAAATCGCTGATCTCATTGAAGCGCTCATCATTTTCAGAATTTGAAGCGAGCTCATCGAGGCGTGCAGCCAAGTCATCATCAATGGCGCGCGCGTTTATTAATGTTATTGAATCTGCAAATGTTTTTTAAGAGAGTATTTAGTAGTTAAGCACAGCACTTTAGCATTTTATTTGTTGCTTACATGCGACCAATAACCAAATGAAAATTTTAAGACTCTGCATTTCTTCTTACTAGCACAAAAATAGTATTTTGTAAGCTGAACTTGTTGATATTTGATATGGAAGTGAAAGCTCGCTAACTGGCGCACTGCTACTAAATGAGAAGCAATTTTGCTTTGTGGTGATTTTTATTAATGTTATCTACGTGACAAATATTAGATTTGAATGCTACGAAATGCATTTTTCTCATAAATAGCTTATCCGATGGGCACGTTCTAAAACCATTTAAATATAATTTACCATTAACATTTTTAATGTATATATGCATATGTACATAGAATGCATTTATATGAGTACATACATATGTACAATAGCAATGCCTCCCAAAAAAAATTGCAATTATTTAAAGCTTATTACAAAATTTAGCGTATTTTATGACTCCCACCACAACATTTTGAAGCTGGATCACGTTTAAAATACATTCCTCTAAAAAGTATATTTTTTCCCTGTAATTACTAGGGTGTTCGATTATTCGCCTTTTTCGAAAACCGGGTTTCGAATCATTCGAAAAATGGCAATGTTTTCCATTTTCAAATTAAGAAAAAGCCGAATAACCCGGTTTTATTTCACATATTTTCTCTACAGTAAGAATTACATTTGGTGTTGGTTTAGTATAGCAACCAGGGTACTTGAAAAAAAAAATATATATATAGAATTTGAATTAAAATTTTTTTTGTTAGTGTCCAAGGTTTTGCCCAAAACCATATAAATCAGAGTTTCAAACTTTATACAAAAGTTAGGAAAGTTCCGCAATTTTTCATCAAAATTTCGAGCTTTTTAATCTGCATCTTTACAACATTTGCTATATATTTGGGCTATAAAACAGCATACTCAGAAATATTATAAAGCTTCGGATTAAAAGGCTCGAAATTTGGATCAAAATTTGTTGAATTTTCCTAAATTTTGTATAAAGTTTCAAACTCTGATTTGTTTGGTTTTGGCTAAACCTTAGACAATATTTTTATAGAAAAATAACCACAAAAAATTAACTTGAAAAACGTTGTGAATATTTAAAAAAATCAACGCGTGAACACTTGCGTAAGTCATTGTACATCAATTATTGCCTAAAATTTCCAAGAAGGGGTTTTTTATATGAATTTTTGAACTTTGAAAAAACAAATTATTTCTAACATTACATTAAAAATACATTTCAATGAAATTAATGAAAAAAATTGTTTCAAAGTTGAAAAATTCATTGCTTTAAATTTTTTGTTTGAAAATTCAGTTCCTTTAAAATAACATAAAAAAGTAGTGCCAAAAATTTTTATAAGTTCTTGCTTTTACGATTTTTTTACTTCGAAATTTTGTATATTTTTATTTTTCCAATTTTTAATGAAAAAAATTTGTTCAAAGTTGAAAAATTCATTGCTTTAAATTTTTTGTTTGAAAGTTCAGTTCTCTTAAAATAACATGAAAAAGTAGTGCCAAAAATTTTTATAAGTTTTTGCTTTAACGATTTTTTCACTTCGAAACTTTGTAATTTTTTATTTTTCCAAGTTTTTTGTTATTTTTTCTTTGTGGCGCTAAATATCAGCTTTGAAACTATATTTGTAACTATAATAGTTTTTAAGATATTAAAAAAAAAAAATTATTATTTTTTTCCTTTGACAAAACTATGTTACTTATATGATAAAAGAAAAGTTCTTACCAAAATTAATCCAAATCAATTCCATTTCAACCATTGGTCGATATGACATGGATTGACCTATATACATATGTATACATACATATATACATATAACGAGCCTTAACCGTAAAAAAAAATTCGCTCACGTTATTAGGGCTCATGGTGTTTAATTCGAAAATTAGAAATTCTGTATAGTACTATCCTGTACGATTCGTAGCAAAGCAAGCATACGTCCCATTACATCATCATTTTTATTATAGCCCTGACAATAGTTATGGTCTCTGATTTTGCAATTATAGAGAACCAGAATATCTAAGCAGCCTAACAATTAAAATATAAATTGTGTGCTTATGATCTAGGCTACAACATGCCCAAAAACTAACGGGTGATTTTTTTGAGGTTAGGATTTTCATGCATTAGTATTTGACAGATCACGTGGGATTTCAGACATGGTGTCAAAGAGAAAGATGCTCAGTATGCTTTGACATTTCATCATGAATAGACTTACTAACGAGCAACGCTTGCAAATCATTGAATTTTATTACCAAAATCAGTGTTCGGTTCGCTTTACGTCCGATTTATGGTCTACATAATCGACCAAGTGAGCAAACAATTAATGCGATTGTGACCAAGTTTCGCACTCAGTTTACTTTATTGGACATTAAACCAACCACACGAATGCGTACAGTGCGTACAGAAGAGAATATTGCGTCTGTTTCTGAGAGTGTTGCTGAAGACCGTGAAATGTCGATTCGTCGCCGTTCGCAGCAATTGGGTTTGCGAAACACATTTCGAACCGAACACTGATTTTGGTAATAAAATTCAATGATTTGCAAGCGTTGCTCGTTAGTAAGTCTATTCATGATGAAATGTCAAAGCATACTGAGCATCTTTCTCTTTGACACCATGTCTGAAATCCCACGTGATCTGTCAAATACTAATGCATGAAAATCCTAACCTCAAAAAAATCACCCGTTACTACTTGTATCAACAAAATAAAATTTAGATCGTAAATAATATCAAACAATTGTTTATTCACCCGTGTAAAAGTTTTCCTCAGTTCTTGGGTATTTAGCATACATACATACAATTGCATATGAGTAAGAATTTTTCTTAAATAAATTAAGTATTTTTTTTTTATTGCAAACATTACCTATTACAAAATATGGACAACTATATATGTATGTACTTACGTACACCTGTCTATATACATATGTACAAGTATATATATTTGCACGTTATCACTCACTCATATTGCTGCTGCACTAATAACCGTTAAGCAGCTAATTTATTTTATCTTCAAGTTTTCCACAATTTTTTCATATCCAAAAAATATCGTCCAACGCCCGTAACCCTCTTCACACAAATAAGTCTCCATTGAACAGTAGATGTTGCTGTAATCTGTATAATCTGTATACATACATACATATAAACATCCAAATATTTTTACGTGTTTATCGCAACGTGTAAACGAGATAAACTGTGCTTTACTTACCCTTTTTAGCTTTACAAGCTGCTATTTTCAAATGGCATAATGACTCATATTTCCGTACGCAGCCCTCATTGTCATCATAACGGCATACAGGCTCGGTATTTGCATCCACACCGCATTTGCTCACTGCTTCGCAAGGTTGCGGTTCAATAGGCGAAGTAACCTTTTTTGCAGGCGGTTGTGGTATATTGGCAGCGTTGGCGCAAAACTCCACGCAACTGTTGAGCGAGCCTATAAGTTAGAAATTTCATGTACCAATTTAGTTTGATTTCTAACAAAAAAATTAGAAGCAATTAAATATGTAAATTTATTTTACAAACAAACTAATAGCAGAAAAAATCCATTTGCCAGTGAGACCATCTTCGAGGTTCTGTTAAACTATTGCACTTAGTTTTGTAAGTATGTGCATGTGTATGTGTGTATATGAACGTAGGCTTTGGAGCGCGGCTGAATAATAACTACATTCAAAAATTATTTTAATTACGCTGCTAACCGATGTCTCACCTATTATCGTTATCAGTTATCATACACGGGAAAAAAATTTAAATATCGCCCATTTCCTGTCATAACGTCAAAGTTATTTGTCAGCTATTTTTCCTTAAACAAAGAATAATAATTGCTGAAAACTGATACAAACATAATCAAAACATGTTAACCAGAGGACAGAGCTATCATCAGGCCTTGGTTGGCTTCCTATTATTTTTTTTTGTCCAAGTCTTTCTTGTTATAGTTGTTAAGCAAAGTGGAAAAGGGTTATGGGCTTATTCATAAACAAGTAATTTTTAAGCAAGAAATTCAACCGACTCCAATGTTCATATACAAATTTAGCAGTACCGATAATTTGTTCATGATCCAATGATCGCAACTAAACCAAATCCGTATGGGATTTTCATTGAGATACCACCTTTGCGATAAATTTAAAATAACACAGTGTCACTAAATAAAAAAATTCATGAACTTTTTAAGTGACCTAGTATCTACAGGTCGTAGAGCTGGCCGAATAATTCACGAAACTGTTTTCAAAGTTCTTCTAACCCCCTCAAATTCTTAATTTATTCTTAAATAGTAATAACTAATAACTAAAATTAGAAATAAGAAGGCTCAAAATACGTTTTAAAACTAAATTTACCGGAACTTTTTTATTCAGAATTGCCAGTAGAATACGTCAATCGCCGAAACAAAGTACAAAAAAAATTTGATCCGTCCTAATGTAAGAAGTGATATTCAATATACCTACAAATCGTCACCAGTAAAGCAAAAAGCCCCATTAGAACTTTTAAAGAAAATGCTAACTGAGCTTTTTAAGAATGCTAAAAACACCCGCCGTTTTAAGACATAGTTTTGAACTTTAGTATAATGGTGTATCTAAGAGAAAATGTGAAAATTCACATATCCGAAAAACTATCAAATAGGGACTTTTGCACTGAGAGACTTTTTATACCCGAGCGCACTTGTGCACAAGGGTATTATAGATTTTTTCACATAACGGTTGTTTGTAACAGGCGAAACGAGTCGAGATAGATATAGAGAAATTTACACATAAATGATCAGGATGGAAAAATTAATCGATTAAGCGGTGACTGTCTGTCCGTCCGTCTGCCCGTCTGTGCACACGATAACTCGAGTAAAAATTTAGATATCTTAACAAAACTTGGTATGTGTACTTCTTTTCAGCGTAGGACGGATGGTTTTGAAAATGAGCAAAATCGGACAATAACCACGCCTACCTCCCATATAACGGTACTGGAGATTATTCACTCAAAATTGATTTTACAATGGTTTTGAGAGGAGAAATAAGAATATTATAAATTTTTGGAAAATGAGCCACGCCCACCTATGATTACGTGTGTATATCTCGGTAGCCGCTCCTCCAATTTCTCCCAAACTTGGCACAGTTGTTGACCTTGGTACAACAAACCAAACGGCTGAAAATTTTTACAATCGGACAATAACCACGCCCACATCCCATGTAACGGTAATTTAGAAAAATACGAAATACTGAAGCTAATTTATTCAAAGGGAATATCGACATATGTACATACAGAATCCTAGTAAAAATTATAAATTTTGAATTCATGCAAGATTCTAATGTGACCCTATTTTTTTTTTTTTTTTGTTTTTGTAGATGATTTTTAAATTAAAAACTAGTAGAATAAAAAAGAAGAAATCTGGAGAAAAAAGCAGTTGTTAATAGAGATCAAATCTATGAAATAGACTGTACTTTAAATCAGTACAAGCCATGTTTTCACGAATATGATTGAGACTGCCAGTTTGTGTGCGAGTACGTTTTCCTAGTGGCAGAGATTCTTGGAACTTCAATTGGTAAGACCTTTTTCATGCAAATTTTTTATGGTAGAAAATACGAAAAGTCATTACATATAGTTTAAGAAGAGATTTAGTATTGGTGGACTTCGTACAATTACCACTATTTTTTTGTATTCTTTTTTTTAAGTGATCTCCTTGTTTGCCAACAATAAATATAGAACATATGTAGAAATTAAAGGGCTCCCACGAATTCATATCCGCATCAGATAAGATTATCTCAAAACGTGTTTATTTGCATAAATTACTTGTGTGCATATACAAACACACATACATATGCAGTTACAAAAATTCTTGAGCGGTGCGCTTATACACTAACGAAGTAGATACATGTAGATACATATAAATATATTTGAGCTCCTTTTAATCACTCAATCAAAATCTTCATCTTCTTTACTACACATAAAAGCTGGGTTGTCACAGTATACGTCCAAAAAAACGATGTACTCTGTAAATGAGGATTAACTTTCATTAAAAACACGATTAAAATGAGATACAAACCTTGTTGTTTTTTGCATTCCTCATACTTTAGATGACACATAGATTCAAAATATCTGAAGCAAACAGTTTGCTTGCCCATTGCGCAAATTTTTGTGTTTTCTACCACACAATCAGATACGATACCGCAATCAGTGGTTTGTTCATCGTTGCAAGCAATAACTTCAAAAAAGAAGGAATATGTACATACATATATATTTGTTTATATATATACATTTTAATTTGACCTACAAATCGATGCATCTCCTTTTAATATTAGTAATAACAGTGCAAAGAAGCGCATATTTGAAATAAAACTAGTACGTGCGATGAACATAAAAACACTAAACTCGTTTTCTTAAAAGTGGTAATTTACAAAATGAGCTAAAATTATATTTTTGTTGTGTCGTTTGCTAATAAGCAATAAACATACGCTTGACGCCGTTTTCGTCAACTAATGAAATTGGCGTCGGTCCCACAGTACCAGTAATTTGTTTAATGAATCAGTTGCATTCTACTGTGTACGGTTAGTTTATTAACAAATGCAGATAAGAAGCTTACACGTGTAAATACATACTGGAATATTATTAGCGTATTGAACAGGTAAATGCAGCATTTTAATTTGCATGATCAGCAAATATGTCAAGCATATAATCAGCAAATAAATCTATACTCTAATTAAATATACATATTAAATAATTCGAAGCATATTGACATGTTATTAATCTAAATAATTATATTATTTAACAGCATATTTGTGCATGTTTGTATATATATATGTAGGTATGTTGGAGAAGCTGAAATCAGCGCCTTTTCTTTTTTTCCTGCTTGCGTACTTTGTGCAACCGTTGTTGTTGTCGTATATTATTGGCCGTTTCGCCGTGAACCTTGCAGTCCTTTGGTAAAAAGTAAAAGTTATAATTTATTTGTACGTACATACATAAATAGCATTTTATTAATGCACTTTTGATTCTATACCACATTTGCCTCTGCACAAATTGACTCTTCGCAAGTTGGCGGTAGGAAAATCGATGCTCCGATGCAAAAAAGCTGAAATATAGCTCCTGCAAATAATCCATAACGCAAAAGCATATTGAAGAAATCTTCACTACTATATTTGTCTAATCCTAAACCATTTCCGAAAGTATTTGTGCTCATTGTTGAAAATTAATACTTGTTTAGTTATTTACAAATTTGTTTGTATACAAGCGAAATTTTTTAATACATAGCGTGCTTCTTCTTACTTGATGCAAGCAAATCAACTACAATAGTTTTCATTAACCCATGGGTATAGGGTTGAAGCGAGATAAACATAAATGTGTTTTTTTTTCAAAATCTCTTAAATGTTTTTAGCACTTTTTATATATTGAGCTCTGAGTAATCAAATTATATAGGGTGTCCCTTACCACCCGTCCACACCTTCTAATATGGAGGGAAATGTTTTTTCTTCCGGTTTCCGGTTTCGACCGCAAATGGATTAAACTGACCGGAAGTTCGAACCAGAATCCAAATCTGCATAGTCCCATAAAGGCATAGTCCCATTTAAAAAACAAAAGGGCTTCCGGTCAGTTTAACCCATCTCAGGTCCAAACCGGAGCATTCACGATTTGGTAGCCATAATTTTGTTTACATGCGTATCCGGTCAAGCATTTTTATTAAATTAATATAAATTAAGTCTTGTTTTCAAAAGTCTACTTTTTACAACAAACTTGCAAAAGCTTATTTATCGAAATAAAAATCTGAATACTTAACGGTTCTTAATTTTGAATTTGTCTGTTTTTCGATACATTACAGTTATGCCTGGCAATAAGAGCATCAAATATATGTGTATATGTAAATAATATATAATGTCAAACTACTAATCTATTTTAATCAGCCTAAAACAAGCAGGACTGAAATTTAAACTGTCCCTTAAATTTTACATCCATTGTAGTAATGAAGAATACAACAGCTGCTAAATTTCGAAAATATTATTACTTAAATTTGTAATGTATTTGAAGATACTTATGAACGTGTATAAGTTTGTACGTAGAGGTTAAACTTTATAAGTTCCGGCTTGATGGTAAACCTCTATTACTACTAATACTCAATTCAAGCCTATTTCATATGGTTGCCTCAACACCAGATTTATCTGCCGACTTGTCACATATCGGATGGGTACTACTCTCGTAAGTTGGAATCATGTATTTAATGTTGATAAATGCGTTTGGTCCGCCACAAGTTTCTAGCAATGAAAGCGTATCTTCAATTACATCTCCAATGCGGCGACTACGGTCAGGGTCCACACCTGAGCCAAGATTAACATTAATGTTCTTATACAAATTACAAACAGCTAAAAGTTGGCGATAGTATGGCACAAGAGCTTGTCCAACACATGGTCCTATAATGAATAAAATTTGTTTAAACATTTTCGGTTATATTGTTGTTCTAAAGTGCTTAACCTACCAACTAAAACCATAGTCTGTAGTACTTTTAGAGCTGATATAATAATTCGCTTATCACGCGTATTGAATGCCCTTTTCAATGGAAGAATAAGCTTTGGTAGTACCGGTAATATTTTGTGTGGTGCTTTCAGTATTAAATCCATGGCAGCTTCTTGTGCCAATAAACGTATGTCGACATCAATATCTGCTAAACTAAATTTAAAATATATAATTATAAAATCTTAAAAAAATATATATATCTTTATTATGAGCCATTACATACCCATCTACAAATATTGGCAAATAGTAACAGTAATCGAGTTCCTTTGGATCACAAAACCATTTGACTGTTCCTGAAGTACCCTTTCCACTGCCCTTAATCCCTTTGGCTACTGGTATATCACCACGACGAAAATACATTTTGAAAAGTGTCTCTTTTACAGGCCTTTTTTTATATAAATATATCCTTTGCGAACATTAAACGAAAAGAATTTGCATTTCATAAGTTATGTAGAACCGATCAAGCTCACCTTGGTGGTGATTCCACTATGGTATTTTTTTGCAGCGCCTGATATGTAAAGGCAGGAACCGCACGTGGGGGCTTGGAAATAAATGTTTAAAAAATTAAAGATTGAATTTGATACTATTTATAATCCTTACAAACTTTTTTCCACGATACAAAAAGTTACGACATTCCTTTCCTGATATGTGCATTTTTTGCGTGTCCTTAATGAATATAAGTCTTGATCAGCCCGTCGATGCTTTATTTGGATTTCCCTACGTTATTTTCTTACTGAAATTAAAAAAAAAATGCCGAAACTGTTGTGTTAGAAAATTTAAGATAAATGCCCTTAGAAAATTTTGTTACTGACACTGGAAGTGTGTATTTACTGTCTAAAATAAGAGCTAACTGGAATAAATGGAAAAATAAACGTTACTGCTTCTTTTTGGCAATTATTTTAATTTTAATTCCAAAATTGTAAATTAAATAAACTTCAAATACCTCCAAATTATGGTGAATGAGTTTTTCTTTAAATGTCACCGATTGACATAACTGCAGTGGCATCACCAAGGGCCGTAGAGCAGCTGATCGATGGGAAGGCCAGTTCGAGATTAATTGTGGTTTCAGCAAATCTTTCCGCCGGGTATTAAGTAACACATTGTGGTGATAAAATCAACAACAATGTCAACTCTACGAGCTGCAATTAGTCGGCACTTGGGGACACATTGTGGATCGCGCCCAAACGTCAGGAACACGTTGCCTTTATATCGCTCATTTGGGCCACCCTGCAGACATTATGGCTCGCCTGTTACGCCGAAATCACAAGGCACAAGTACATTTAAGTTAGCACTTATTGGTGCAGGCATTGGTGCTGCTTCTGGTACGGCATATTCAATATATGGAAATTGGAGGGACAAGAATTCGCATATGGAACATGAACGCATACCGCCGAAAGTTCTAAGGAAGCTACCCGATGTCAGGATAACCAAGAAATACGTTAATCCACTTGATGATTCCGATTTGAATATAATACTATTTCAATACCAAACGTGTCCGTTCTGTTGCAAGGTACGAGCTTTCCTCGATTACATGGGCATATCGTATTCAGTGGTTGAAGTGGATGCAGTATTGCGACAAGATATCAAATGGTCCGACCAAAAGAAAGTTCCTATGATATTGGTGCAACAAGGCGATGGACGTTATATACAGATGACAGACTCCAGCGCTATCATCTCGCTATTGGCTTCTTACTTAAATGACAAGGATACCGATATAGGATATCTTGCAAGTTTCTACCCTGCAATATCCTTTTTCGATGACGACTCTAAAAAACGGCTTGACATACTAAACAAATATTTCCTAATGTATCAAGATAAAACTCCAAAGAATGTAACTCAAGACATGCAGGAGTAAGTATCTAGATGCGATAACTAAGTCAAGGGGAATAACTACAATTTATCTATTTAACTAATTTGCATTCTTGTTTTAGAAACGAGCGTAAATGGCGCACATGGGCGGATTCCCACCTCGTGCATCTAATATCGCCCAATTGCTACCGCACTTTAGCCGAAGCCCGTGAAACCTTTGAATGGTTCTCGAAGGCTGGAGAATGGGATATTTACTTTCCCAAATGGGAACGTAACTTAATGGTTAACGTAGGTGCTGTTGCAATGTGGGGTATAAGTAAGATGTTGAAGCGCCGACATGGCCTTTCCGACGATGTGCGATCACATATATATGACGCACTAAATAAGTGGACTAACGAGCTGGAGAAGCGCAAGCAAAAATTTATGGGAGGTAAGCAGCCAAATCTTGCAGATCTAGCAGTTTTCGGAGTACTTAACAGTATGGAAGGATGTGAAGCTTTTGGGGATTGCATGAAAAATACTAAAATTGGTAAGATATTCGTTAATGCTAACTAGAGTCGTTATTATTAAAATTTCGTTTATTTTTTATCTGCAGGCGTTTGGTACACAAATGTAAGAGAATTGGTTGATAAAAATCGCGGCGATTTAATAAGACGAACAGATTTGGTTCCACTCCATGCTTAGTACTACAGGCGCTTCTTAAAATCTTAAATTATTTTGTTTGTTAATTATTTTTTAAAAGTACCTATAACATTTGAACGTGTATATATTAAATATTTCAAGTCAGTATACAAATTTTAAAGCTTAAATACGATTTTCTTTCAAAATGAGTTTGGAGAGGGTAAAGAAAATGTTGATGCATCATACCCAATGCTACTATTTCCCAGTAAGACCGCCTATACTTTAAGTCCATGGACAACACTACTATTTAATTTTAAAGCAGTTTTTATTAATTTCTAATTAGACCCGTTATTTACTGTAGCTTCGCCCTTTACTAAATTCAAAATTACGTTCTTAAAAATACATTATTTTACTCTGGTAACATCGACGGTCTGCCGCTGGCTGGTGCAAATAAAAAATGTGGCAGCATTGCACAAGAGCTGTCAAATAAATTTAATAAACGTCATTCTACGGAGAATTTCTGCAAATCACTTGGCGAAACAACATTTTTGGAAACAACGAAAATACGTATTTTGCTTTGACTAATCATGCATAAAATTCAATCGTTTCCTGAATATCAAGTGCCCGGCGCACAGCATCAAGATTTTTCACCTTACGAATCGAATGGAGGGTATGTATAGAAACATTTCCAAAATTCACGCTGAAGCGCATTGTCAATTTCAGATCTATTGTGGCCATTGCCGGCGAGGACTATGTAGTGATTGCTGCAGATACTCGCTTAAGCAGTGGATACACCATCCACACACGCAAACAAAACAAATTATTTCAATTGTCTGAGAAAACTGTACTCGCTTCAACGGGATGTTGGTGCGATACCTTGGCGCTTACCAGTTTGGTAAATGCTCGTATGCAAATGTACGAACATCTACACTTGAAAACCATGTCTACAGAAGCCGTTGCCCAAATGTTGTCCATTCTCATGTACAACAGACGCTTCTTCCCATACTATGTATCGAATGTATTGGCTGGGCTAGACACCGAAGGCAAGGGTGTAGTTTATTCATATGATCCTATTGGACACTGCGAGCGCACCACATATCGTGCCGGTGGTTCAGCTGGCACCCTACTGCAGCCAGTGTTGGATAATCAAATCGGCGGTAAAGATAAGGATGTAAAAAACAAACCCAAAGTGTCGTTGGAGAAAGCCAAGGAAGTAGCTAAGGATGCTTTTATTTCAGCAGCAGAACGTGATATATACACTGGCGATTCGGTACTTTTAAAAGTCATCACCAAAGATGGTGTTATCGAAGAGGAAGTGCAGTTACGTAAAGATTAAATTAGTAAAGGGTTTGGTAATTTTTGTTTCTCAAAACTTTTTAATTAATAATAAATCTATAATTTTGAATACAAACATTTATTTAAATAGGAAACTTAAATTTATTTTGTGTTGCTGCTCTTTTGAAGTGATCTAATATCAAAAATCAAATCTTGCGGAATACTGCTGAGGGGAGAAACTGATTTGATTCCCACTGGTAGCGTAAATCCGACTGCCGTGAGGAGGCTATTCAGCTGTTATTTCTTTTCTAGTGATGCTTTCCGAAAGGGTTTGAGTATTTATGTTTATTCTTCTCTAAACGTTTCACAATACTCCATTTCAATCCTGATCGTAATACTAATGTGCACTCAAGCACTATGGAAGTCCGGTAGCAGTTTTTAGTTTTTGCTTTTTCCCCATTCGTTTAACAACAACCAAGAATCACATATCGGCGTTTACATACCCCTGAATTAGTCAACTTCTGCCATCGCAAAAGATATAAGCTATCTTCTACTTAAATATGTTTGTATGCATGTATGTATAACCACGTATGCATATATGTACATACATACATATTTGCATATATTTGGTCGATTCTCTTATCGTCTTTGGACTTGCCGTATTACGTGATTCCAACTATTAAGTTTCAATATGCGTTGATTGGTAAAAGAGTAAAAAAAAACATTTGAGGGTTTTCTGCTAACCGCATTGTTTATTTAGAGTTTTTGTTTAATTTTTCATTCAGTTTTAGGCATAATATAAATAATTTTTTTTGTTTATTATAATAGTAATAGTATATGCATGTAGGGTTGTAATCGTTATATACTATATATTTATATATGTATGTATGCTTAGGTGTATGTACGTTGTATATTTCATGCGTATGTGTGTCGTGTGTGTTTAAATTTTTTTCATATTATTTTCTTTGCTGTATTATGCATTTGATTATGTTATTTAGGGCGGCATAGACATGTTGCAATCATGTCCCGCACTCGCTCACCCCACTCAGCTGCTCCTCTACTCTTATTTTAAGGTCGAAAAATTTAAAAGAAGGCAATATATATAACTTTTTCGCAGTTTATAACTAGTTTTATTTGAATTGCATTCCTAAACATAGTAAAATGAACAAACATACAAAACAATGACAAAGAACAAAAACAAAAGTGTCAATCGTAAGCCGCTTTATAAAGTTGCTTTCACATATGTCTGTATGTAAGTCGTATTGTGTTTTTATCATTATCCTATTTAATAATTTGATTTTTTATAAATGTATATTTTGTTTGTTTTTATCCACGATTATTATTATTTTTTACTTCAATCAAGCCCAAATATTTTATACCAAGCACGCTATTGCATTTCTAATTATTTTAAACTTTATTTAAAAGTATGTACCTACTATATTGTTTTATGCCACCAACTTTTCCAAAGTCAGGAGAGTTAAAGGGTTCGTAGTAGTACACCTTATCCTTGAAAATTTGGTCAAGCGGACATACACTTATTGCTCGCAAATAACGCAGCAAGATTCGGTTAGTGTGGATAATCGATTTGTTGTTTTATCTTAGCCGAGGTATAATTTTTTGAAATAAAATATGTATGTATATGAAAATCATTGAATTTAATTTGCATATTTACTTCTGTCCTAGATAACTATGTTTTTAGGTGTTGACTAATGACTACTTTCTTTCTTTATTTAAAACACACACTGCTCGTTTACCACTGATGCCGCTATATTATCAATCATTCATCCATTCATGCTTCATATAAACCCTACTGCCGTGCTGAATTGTAGTTAAAATCATCTTTCAGTACCCGCTGATCATGGTTTGTTCATAATTTCTATATTGGCAGAACGGATGAAGTTGGTAGCACCGATAATGGCGGTGAAGGTGATGGTAACTTTGGGATTGCTGAAGTTGTTGGAAATTGTGTTTTAGCTGTTTTTCTTGTTGCTGTACATGCTGGTTGGCGATTCGGCCTTGATGACTTCTATGCTACTAAGCTTCAGGCAGCGGTTTCAGTTCCTTTATCTGTTTAATCAGATACGCCTTTTCATCGTTGAATTGTTCATCTTCTGAACGATCCGTATGGAAATTGGTCAGAAAGTCAACCAATTTAGATTGGTTACGGAGCAAGATATCTAATATGGGCTTGGGCTTATTCGGATTGGCTACAAACACTTTGAAGACGTGGAAGGCCTCGAATTGTATATTACGTGACTTTTCTTTTAGCATATTCATCATGAGCTTCAGGTTTTCCGGCTCCGATATGTATCGTGTCATCACGGTGAAATTGTGGCGATCAAGCAATAGTTCGCCTAATAGTTTCAGGCTTTGTCGCCTAGTTACGTAGTTTTCCGAATTTAACAATCGTTGATAATGTTGCGTGAAGAACTTGTCATAGTTGGCCTCGAGGAATTCAGCACATAGCAGCTTGTGGCGTGTCAGCAATTCCTTGAAAGTGGAGAATGCATCTGACGCAATATCGAAGGTTGACACCTCTACATAGCGGAAGAACTTGAAGAACTCATCTGAGTGTAGCATTATCTTAGCCAATGCTTCATATCGTGCACACTCACGCAACATAGTACCGGAGTTTAGTGCGATTTCTGGATGTGCGTCCTCATAGCCAGCCATTAACGTAAATAGGATTTCGGGCTTTGTACAAATGTACTCCACCGTGGGCGAGCGTGTACCAATCTGTCTTCGCAACACATTATTGAATATAAGAGCAACGTGCTTTTTCCCTTCAAAATCTATGCGATGCAGATTCTGTATGAGCAACAACAGCAGATTGCTATTGTAAAGCTCTTGTGACAACTGGGCAACAACATAATCAGCTGGCGGTTCTGAGTCACTACTGCCATACAGCATATTCTTTATTGAAACAAGATTTTTACTAACATCCTCTTGTGCCTTTTCTGCCTTCCGATCCCCACCCGTTTCGAGGGCATTGATTGCCTCCTTGAGCGACCGCACCAATTCGGCGGGGGTCTTTTGTGATTTTCCAAACAAGGGCATTACGTTGGCACTTTACTGATAGCTCACACCCGGTTTACTGCACACACCTTATATTCTCGCAATGACACACCTGACTATTTGACTGTTGCGTGCGCTTGTGCTCCTCGAAAACTGTTTGGCTATGAAACTGCACTGCGGTTTTACTACTGCTGCCACTGTTCCTATGGTAGATGTGTCTTTTCGCTGTTGCTGTTGTTGTAATTGGCTCGTCGCGTTCCGCGACTAATTGCTATTCGCTGTACTATTGCCGGAATAATCGCACAATTCTGGGCAAGTTGTTTGTGTTGTTCGATTTGTTCTTCAGCTCTGCAAATTTAATGGAATTACTCTCCGAACGTGTGGTTTATCGGTTTTACCAGTTTTTATTCTGTTAATTTTCTACTTTTGTCGTTCTTGGGTGTAGTTGAATAAAAGGAAAGTTTTCGTTTTCTTTTGACTTTTATCTTTAAGGTGAAATTAGTCAAGAACGTAAACCTACCGGTACGTAAACCCGAGTCAGCTGATACGATGTGTCTTACCAGCGCAGAAATCTGCGGAATATAGATTTTTCCGTGTCAGCTGATTTCTTCCTTCTATAGATGGTTGCCACTTCGTCAGTTTTACAGATGGTAAACTAGTTATAAGTTCCTATTCTAAATACGTTAAAAATATTAGAAATTTGCTATCGAATAAGGTTTTTTGTTGAAAAATAAGTAGTTTATATTTAGCTAGCATCTAATATAGCATGAAAAATTGTAGTTGAAAGGGTAAGTTTATGAAAAGGCAATACTCTAGTAATCAACACTGAGGGCTCCAGTAATCGACGAATTTCTGCGTATACAGACTGCGTTTAAGTATAAGTTCTGCGTTCTTGCCTAATTTCACCTTCAGCTGTCATATAAGAGTTGCCAGTCTGACAGAGATTGCGAATGTCGAAATATATAAGAACAAGCGTTGCCATACATATTTGCACCGTTTTGGATTCCTCGCGCAACAACCATTTTTTAAATATTCCTCATGTTGTTGTTGCTCTAAGAGCATGAAATTTGACCAAGCCGTTTTAGGGGAATATTTCTGAGGCGACAGCTTTTGACACCATATAAATATAGCTCGTTCCGGTTATGTAGACCCGGCTGTCGTGGGAACGAACTGTTCCTCATCACAAGGCCCGCAACAAGTCCAAGATCTGTCAACGTGGGGCCTTCCGACCAAGAACTGGTATTTCACTTCTCACCACGTAGACTAAATAGATTATTCTGGAACTTTACGTCCACGTCGATGGCAGCAGCATGCTGACGGTCAACCATGACAAAATCTTGGGAGTAACGTTCGACAGCATTTTCCAGAAACAAAATCCTCGAGTCATTAGCCGGGAGTACCTGGAGAGCCAGCAAAGACACCCTGCTCACAACATATAAAGCGATAGGCCGGTCAGTGGCCAATTACGCAGCGCCAGTGTGGTAGATAGGTATGGACGATACGCAGTGGAGAAACATAAAAAACTGCCAGAATCCAGCTGTACGCATGGATACAGGCTGCCATCTCCTGTCGTCCGAGCATAACGTTCACAAAGAAAGCCACATACTGGCGGTAAAAGAACAAAACACCTTGCTATCGAAGCAGTTCCTCCCATCGTGCAAACCCCCTTATAACACCCTGTTTCTAAACTATTCGCCCCTTATACGTCAGACGACCTCTGCACGATCGCAAACCCGACAACGAGCCATACATAAACCATCCATCCGACGCAGCAAAATACCGGGCGGCGGTCAACAATAGTCCGGTAGACTCTCAGCACCCGGAGGCGACATGTTCGTCTCAGGTGGTCGCCCCTCGCTCATCTCCATTGAAGAAGCAGAACTGCCGGAGGGACCAGATGCACCCTAGCTCAACTCCATCAAGGGTGGTGGTAAACGATAAACAGCTATCTCTCCCGGCTGAACTCAGACGTGCAGACACCAGCTTAGCATGGAGGAAGGGTCGACACAACGCCCGAAATCTCTCCGCACGCACGTCTAACCCTAAGACCGTGGCACCAGAAGCACTAAGGACCACGCTTATCGACTTCGCCTGCTTTTTTGGCCTCAGGCTTGCAGCGTCAGAGGATGATTCA